ACAGGTGTGTATATATACACAAACACACAAATAAAAACAAAAATTTTAATCCAACTATTCCCTTTAATAATTCCACAACGTCTCCGTTCCTGCTCCTTTGATCTACTGTTACTACTGCTAGCTGGTGGGTTGTGGTGGTGCACATCCGTCCTCGGGAGATCGAATAAAAAGGATTGCCACAAGTCTGAGGCCAGCTTGGTTTGCACAGCAAGTATCAGACTACATAGTAAAACCCTGTCTCCAAAAACAAACAACTTGGGTTGGAGAGTTGACTCAGCAGTTAGGAGCAACTTGTTGCTCTTGCAGAGGCCTAGGGTTCAAGTCCCAGCACCCACATGGTGGCTCACAGTCAGTCTCCTGTAACTCTAATCTCAGAGGATCTGACACCTTCTTCTGGCCTTCATGAGCACTGCACACATATGGTGTGCACATATTCATGCAGGCAAAACACTCATACACATAAATTAATAAAGTAAAATAAAAATTTAACTCCTGACAAAACAACCTCAAAAAAGAGAACCCTTAATCAGATCTTTTCAGGAAGAGGAAACTGAGGCTTAAAGTGTAGGCAAAAGTTATCTCAATTTATGGCACAAACAAGCCCAAGCCCCCAAGGCTCGGGATCCCTAGCCCAGGTATATAAATGTCTGGCCTTAAGTTTTTTAGTTATTCAAGGAGACATCAGAAGATGCAGGGTGGATCCCAAACAGAACTGCAGACTCTCATGGTGCCAGGCTTGAAGGAAGCCAAATGGGCACGGTCTCCTGATGCTCCAGCCCCCTGGCTGCCAGGCATTCTGGGATCCTGGCTCTCTGCCAAGGGTGAAAATGAGCTGCAGGCCTCTGGCCACTCTCTGCCCCTCCTCTGGGGTTTGCATCTCATTGCTGAAGGTTGCACCAGGCTTAATCTCTGTAAGTGCAGACTCCGAGGAGCCCGGCCGCAGGGAGCAGTGCCAGCAGCTTGAAGTGCTCCATGAGGCTGCCCTCTGCTTGGGCAGGGAGGCCAGAGCAATATGCAGAAGTGGCTTTTCGAGCTTCACCTGGCCTGAGCCTTCCGGAGCCTGCTGAGACTACTATGTCGGACGGACGTGGTGAAGGTCACCGGCCCGCGTTCTCTCTCCAAGTGTAGGTTCACTTAGTGACATCCTCTTCTCACCCATGTCCCCATAAGCCTTCAATTGAGATAGAATCAATTTCAAAGTAAAGGCACCAGTGACCCACTCCAGGATTTAAATCACAGCACTCATATGAGTGAGGCTTGATCATGGCCTCCAGGTAGCTGGGCTTTCCCAAGGATGGAGAGGACCAATAGCCAGTAAGTAGATGTAAGATAGGGACAGCAGGGACACCCTTTTTGATATGTTTGCCAGGAAGCTCAGAACTGAATGGATGCTCCATCCATCACTAACCATCTAACAACAGATTATGATAATTTTGATGCCTCATGGGTGCACATGGGAGAGCACAGTACACATAGGACATGCTTATCATCTCTGACACCCGGAACCTGAGTTCTGACACTTTCTTTGTTTCCTAAGCAACCTATTTTGTACAAGTTGAGTATTCCTAGTCTAAAAATCCCATATCTGAAGTAAGTCAAAATCTACCATGTTCAACAAATGATCAAATTTAGGAGCTTTGGGATTTGGTAAAGAGTGTGCCAGCATTCCAGTGTTGGACACTCCCAGGTCTGAAACACTTTTGATCAAGCATCTCAGACAGCAACATCTAACCTGGGCATGATTCTGTAAGAAAATGTGAAGTACCTACCACATGCAAGCAAAAGCCACAGCAGGCCTCTCTATTGGGAGGTGAGAACGCGGTCTGGTGACCATCGGAATTGCATTGTGTGCCTCTTGTCCTAAGTAGCCATTGTGTCTCTCTCCTCCATCTGACCCCTGCCTTCCTCTCTGAGCAGCCAGTGAAACAAGCCGCTGTAAAGTGGTGGTATGAGGCTCTTTCCAAGGCCTTCCCTCAGTCTGTACCCTGTTTTCTCCCCCTGGGATGCCCTGGCAGTTATGATTAATTCTGGCTTGTCCATGAAGACTCCTTAAGGCTTAGCAGGCATGTCCAAACCTTTTGATGTTGCTACTGATGTGCTACTTCCACAAAGGTCATACTCCAGAGCCTTGCAAATCAATTTAAAAACAAACAAACAGAAATAAGTAAAACCGGGCTGGAGAGATGGCTCCGTGGCTCACACTGCGCTTTCATGGGACACTCACTTCCCACTTCTTAGCATCTACATCAGGTGGCTCACAACCACTGCACTTCCAGCTCCAGGGGATCCTACAACCTCTTCTGGTCTCCATGGGTACTTGCACTCACACGTAAGCCTCTCTCTCTCTCTCTCTCTCTCTCTCTCTCTCTCTCACACACACACACACACACACACACACACACATACACAGACACACAACTAAAAATAAACTAAAATCTATAAAGTGTTCTTAAACTACTTTAGATATATTTATTTTTATCTCGTGTGTGTGAGTGTGTTGCATGCCTCTGTGTCTGTTCACCACATGTGTGCCTGGTGCCCATGGAGGCCATAAGAGGGCACTGGATTCCTAGAACTGGAACTACAGATGGTTGTAAGCTGCCGAGTGCTGGGAATCAAACCTGGGTCCTCTGGAAGAGCAACACATGCTCTTAATTGCTAAGCCATCTCTCCAACCCCTATAAAAGTTCTTTAATAAGAAAAGAAAATCTCATGATGTCTTAAGTGAGTTTATGGTTTTGTGTTAGCCATCTTGGGATGCTTGTCCAGGAGAAAGGCACAGCGACTGTCTTGAGTGCTTTGAGACTTACTGTAAGAATTGGGCTCCCACATTCCTGAATCTGATTCAGCTGTGCCTCTCATGGCCCTAGACCCTCAGTGCCAACCTCGTCGTCACCCTCCTTACCACCCTCTTGTCTGGCCGCATGGGGAAGGAGAGTCAAACAAAACTCCCCGAGCTGTCTTCCCTTGAAGTCTCTTGTGGAGCTGTCTATGGGGCCACTGGGACACAGAGGACAGTGCATTTTGACCTGGGTCATTTGATCATTAATTCGTTTGGCAGATGTGTACTTTGGTGGGGGCGGGATGGGGCTGAGACTAGGGTGGGACAAGGTAGGTGCTTAGGGTGCAGAATTCACCGAGGTCCACTCCCATGCCTCACAGACTCCCTGGGAATGAAGGCCCCTTTAAGTTCATGTCCTAACCCCTGGTGTATATTTTCCCAGCCTCCACATATTTCCTAGCATTTTCTCCTGGCACCTGTTACAGGTGTTAGGAAGTCCGTGGGGAGTCAGAGAGCCTGTAAAGCCATTTGCCCTGCTGGTGTTGCCTGGCTATGTTCCTGACAGCCTTCTTCCTTGCTTTTCTTTCTCTTTCCTTCCTTCCTTCCTTCCTTCCTTCCTTCCTTCCTTCCTTCCTTCCTTCCTTCCTTCCTTCCTTCCTCCCTCCCTCCCTCCCTCCCTCCCTCTCTCCCTCCCTCCCTCCCTCCTTCCTTTCTTCTTTCCTATTGTTTTTGTTTGTTTGTAGTTAGGGTCTCACTATATAGCCCTGGCTGCTCTGGTACTCACTAAGTAGACCAGGCTGGCCTCTAACTCACAAAGATCCGCCTTCCTCTGCCTCCTGAGAGCTGGGATTAAAGGTGGGCATCATCACTATGTGTGACACTTGATCAGCTTTCTGTCCTGGAATTGTCACCTCCGTCAAGCGTTCTTGTCCCTGTCACCCACCACATCTGTGATGGAATCTGTCATTAGCGACTTTTTGGTGGAAGGAGAGAACCGACTCCTTCAAGTTGTCTTCCGACCTCCACATGCGTGCTGAGGCATGGTCCCACTCCACGTTAAATTAAATAAATAGATATACCAAGAGAAATGGGAATGTAGAGAAGTCACAACCTTCGTGATCAGTCAGCCTGGCAGCCATGGTCAAGTACCACAGACAGACCATGTGGCTCCAGCCTCTCAGTTCTGAAGGTTGAGAGGTCAAAGGTTAAGGTGCACTCATTCAGTTCCACTGAGATGAGAGGGCTCTCTACCTTGCAGATGGGACCTTCCTGCTGTATCCTCACAGGCAGACAGCCCTGTGTCAACACTCCCTTATGAGGGCACCTGACCCTAAACACCTTGACCAGTTTCTCTGTCCTCTCCAAATACACACAGTGGGCTTTAGGACTTGAACATAGTGGAGCGTCCAAGGGCAAACGTTTAGCCGCTAACACCTGTCCCGTGGCTGCAGAGTGTGTTATTGAGACTTGAACTTGGTTCTCCGGAGTTCAGACTGCTCCCCGACGCAGGGCTTGTGGGACTCCTGCCCGTGCAGCTGCATCCCGGTCAGCCTGCGTGACCTTGGGCCGGTCCCTTCTCAACTTCCAACCCTCCGCACCCCTTTCTCCGCGGGTGGCTGGGCAACCATCGCCGGGGCCGGGAGGTGGAGCAAAACGCGGTGCTCGCACCCGGGGCGGCGCAGGTGGCGCAGGGCGCGGGCTGCAGTGGCCGAGGTGGGTGTCGGCGGTGGCG